CCAGCTCTGAGGCCCAGCTCCAGCTCTGAGGCTGTGGCTGACTGAAAGCAGGTATCTGGGATTTGTTTAGCTTTTATAATTGAAACTTTGTTGCTTCTGGATCTCAGAGCTGGGCCGCGTCAGGCGGGGAACCTTGGCTTTCTCCATCACTGGAGCAAGCAAGCCTCCTGCTCGCTCCAGCTCCATGGCTGCTGGCCGCCATCTTGGTTGGGTTAATTTGCATATAGTCACTCTGATTGGCTGGTGGGCATGCCTTAAGTTGTAGTGAAAGTATGGTCAATTTGCATGTTTGTCTTTTATTAGTACTGGATATATATACAAGTTTGATAATGAACTTTATAGTTTGCAAATGGCTGTTGGTTGACACATTTTTATTTTTTTCACTCTTACAAGATCTTTCTCTCTCTTTTGCCCCTCTTCATTTTACTTTTACCAACTTCCTTGCCATTTCTTTCATTTTTCTCCCTTCCCCTGCCGTTTTCTGCTTAGTTCCTCTTATTTTTATCCGTGTTTTGACTCTGCCAGAAACCTGAGAGAGTATAGCTCATCCAAACAGATGTTCTCAGATCTGAAGAGTCTGGTGATGTGCTCTGAGAGGCAGAAAGCTTTTCTGAATCTGAGGTGGTTTCTGTTGCAGCAAAAACATCACCCACTGAGAACTAGTTCTGGGAAAAGGAAGTACCATGAGATAGATGTAAGTACTTTTCCAAATCCTCCTTTTATGCCAGCAAATAAGGATCTCATAGGTCCTTAAGTTCATGCAGAGGGGGTTGATCTAAGAAAAGATCCCAAATATGTGGTCTTCCATATGTTCTTTTGTCCCAACTTGGAGCTACGGAAAGCAAACCTTTATCTACCTCTGCTCCAGGAAGACAACCAGGCTCTCTACAGAAAGACCACTTACAACCCCTTAGATAAATCTGGATCATTCCCCTTGAGACTATATAAATATATATTGGCTGAACCATAAAGCAAATGTCCAGGCTTCTATTCCTCTCCCAAAAAACCAAGTGTGCTCATTAGCATGAGTTATAACTATCCACAGCGGTGTTTCTCAAAGCATGGTCTTACCAGAAGCATTAGCATCAACTGAAAAAGTGTTAAACATGCACATCTAATTAATTAGAAACTCCACGGGGAGGGTAGTTAATAAATCCTCCAGGTGATTCTAATGCTGGTTGAAGTTTAGGAATCTATGGTCTAAGGACAATTGCATGGGAACAGCTCTGCACTAGGAGCTAGGATATATGGGACTTATCCTAGTTAAGCCCCTCACCCACCTAGGAAAGCAGTAAATTATATCCCCTCTCCTGGCCCCATTTCCTCACTGGTCAAATGATGAAGTCTTCCTTGGTAAGTGCCAGGCACTCTTCCCTTATGCATATTCTATGGCCCTTCATGAAGATTATAGTGTGAGCCAGCAGTGGTGTAAGGCCCCCTCCCCAACCTCATCAATATGACTTGTTCTTACTCCACAATAATCTTGCCTTTTTAAAGTATTGAAGCTTATTTTCCAAAAGTCTTTAGTTAAAATAACAGTTGACCTTGGGAGGAGGAGCCTCAGCTATCACTTATGTTATGGTTCACATGTCAGCAAGGCTGGGACATAGAGCAGGAGGTTCTTGAAGCAACCAGGATCCAGAAACAAGGGGTTGGGCTGATGCCAGTGGAGTAAGTCAACAAAGACAAACTTCATCCAATTGCCAAGTTCATTGAGTTCTAGCCCCAACTCTGTTAGACTAAAATGTGGAATATTTTTGCCCAGTTATGAGACTACCTTCCCCTCTTGCTGAATTAAATATAATGTTTACTAAAGAGATTTCTGTATACAGAAGAAGCTAACAGCTCAATAGAGGTTGATTTATCAAGAATCTGGTTGTCATTGTGAGTCATATGGGCTGAAGTATTATTTGAGACACTCAGGCAAAAAAGCATCCTCCCTGAGACTGTCCTTTGATGCCTGTCAATAGGAATGTTCACTTCAGTCTTCAGCCACCATTTGTTTATGGAATCCTCAATACGTGCAGGAACTAGGGATACAGCAATTGAGTTAGAAATGATCCCTTCCTTTATGGAGCTGACAATCCGGCAGAAACTATGCACATTGCCTAAGTGTAATGAGTGCTAGGAGGAAGTATTATGGGAGCAAATTTAGAAAAACTCACTTAATGCCAGGATCTTGGGTTAGCAGAGAAAACCAATGACCTTGGGGACAAGATGGTTGCATTTCTTACCCAAGCATATCTGCAGGATGCAACACACTCCAGTCAATAACTGTGGCTCTCTCAAATGAGCAGGGGAAGACAGTGTCCTCCTCAGAGGAGTCCTCCTCCTCTCCAACCAACCTCCCCCCTTCCTTCCTCAGCGTCGCTCCAGTGGAGGGGGCTAGGATAGGCATGAATATGTCAGATGCGGGGCAGGGGGGGGGGGGATGGTGAGGCAGGGGGGAAGGGTCAATGTGAATTTTGTGGGTTGTAGCCTGACTTAATTACTTCCCTCTACCTATTATTTTTAGCTATTAACTGGTAATTTTCTGCTCTAATATTCATATAACTCACACGTTTAAAAGGAATATCCTGTGAAATCCCACAATACACAAATTATTGAATTCTTGGTGAATATGTAAAGGCAAGGCTGTGATGGAATCTGAGGCTGGAGCCTCCTCCTGCCACCTGCTTTGTGCACATCTCTCCACATTATCTAAGAGAAAGGGCCCCCAGGTACAAAACCAAGTACACACTTACTGTTGTCCTTAGCAACACGATGTCTGCTTCTTGCAAGGAGCACGGGACACAATTTGCCCACACATGCCAAGCAGGTTTCCAATAAAACACCAAGGGGAGGATCCCAAATGAGAAGATGGATCCAGCAAGGCAGAGGGTTTTCCGGCAGCTGTGAGTCTGGTAGCCGAATATCTCCTGGGGCAGAACCAAAAGGACCCCAAATATTGGTTAAGCACAATAAGCAACAAATAAATTGGGATTTTGGTGATGAAACTGAGAGAAAAGAGTAAAGAAGTCAAGCAGGAGGAGGGAAGGACAGGGAGAGGGGTGGAGGGAGTGGAGAAGAGTCCCTGACAGCGTGTAAGATATGATCACAGGCCTCCAAGAAGCTGCAATATAACTGGAAATTTCAGTTTCTGCGATTTGAGCACCCAGCAGCCCTGTTCCAAGCACTATGCTAGGAGCTATGTGGTCTTATTTGACTCTCACAATTTTTCTCTGAACAGGCTAGCACCCTCATTTCATAAATGATGACACTGAGCTCAGAAAGGCTGAATAGAATGACTTGTTCAAGGCCACATAGCTAAGAAGTTTGGCTGCCAATATTCAAACTCAGGTCTTTCAGCCTCCAATTTTGAACATAATCCACAGCCTTTACAGATATGAACATGTGACAGGTAACAGGAGCACTAGGTGACCCCAGCAACCAGTGATTCCTTTGCCTGGGACCAACAGCCTAGTAGGTAAGAAGGACTAGAGACAGACCTTGAGTTTGGAGTCAGGATTTGGTGAAATGCCACCTTGCCTTTGGGACTTTAGGGTAGAGCTATGCATTCACACCCTCCTCTCATGTTCAATAGCGAAAAGAATTTTACAGAAAGAGGGGGAAATCATAGAAACTATTTGGTTTACTTTGACTGATGCCTATAGAGCACCTGCTATGGGCCCTGGAGGATACAAATATGAAAGGGATAAGAGTCTTACTTCTAATAATTTATAATTTGTGCAAACATCTTCTTTCCAAGGAAATCCTGGGACAGAATAGAAAATCACCCCTGAAGTTTATGGCCTCGGTTTCACAGCTATATTCCACAAAGACATAGGTTACATTTTATACTGGTTAGAATGGCTCAAATTGAGAAATAGAGAGTCATGGTTAAAAGCACATTCTCTGGACCAAGACACTTTGGGTTTAAAACCTAGCTCTGCCACTCATTGGGTGAGATCTTGAAGAACTTATTTAATCTCTTTATTCCTCAGTTTATCATCCATAAAATGGGGGTGGTGATAGTACCCATCTCACAGGATTGATATAAAGAAGGGGTGGGGCACACCCAGCCTGTGGGCTGTATAAGGCCTACAGAATTGTTTGGTCTGGCCCTACAAAAGCATTAGGGGTAAGTTAGTTAAATATTTGACCAAATATAATAGGCTAATTTTAAGTTGATTTTCTATGACCCACAAATGATGGTATAAATATCCAAATGGCCCTTGGCAGAATAAAGATTCCCCACCCTTGTTATAGAGCTTAAATTAGTTAATATGTGTTAATGCTATGTAGCACTTACTGCTGCTGCTGTTGCTACTGCTACTATTATTTTACCATTTCCCAAAGTATAGATCTAAAATTCTACCGCCTTGTTTATTGGCATTTAGATCGAAAAATTCCTAGTGTCAATAGTTTTGCTCTTGTTAGAATTGCCCGTTAAGATGACAAGGAGCAAGAACATGCCACTTTAAATCCACCAGCTTCTCTATCTCCCTTGATAAAGATTACATTATCAGAAAAGGTTCTGTGATCCTTGGCTGAAAGCTGCTTCATGTGTAATTAGGCCCCTCCTTCTCATTAGCAACACGTACAGGTGCTGGATGGCTTCCGTGGGTATGGCCCACATTTGCTTTACCTTTAATAAAATGTTCACATTGACTCAGAAGTACAAGCTCTTGACTGAATTTGCGAAATTGGAAGTCTATCCTGACATAAAAACTCCTCTCCCAAGCGCCATCGCTGCTCTCCAGATGTCAAGCCTGAAGCAGTGCTTTGTTAATCCCACACTGTGCTGGGTCCCAATCCTAAATTCCATGTCTGTCCTGAGTCCACCCTACCATCTTTTCCCGTGGGCTTTTTTGTGTTCTGACACCTGAAAATAAATCAACTTCTCCCACCCAACTGAGCCACCTTTTAAAAGTATTTAAAAGTTTTCTTGTATTGCCATTGAGCCCCATCCAAACTGCCTGAGTTATGCCACTTCTATAGCACAAACCTTCTTGTTACCACACATTCTTTCACAGGCAATGCAGTGAGAACCTCTGCAGTTTTCAGTGTTTTCACGTTCATTATCAGAATTAAGTAAACAGGAATGACTATCCTCATTTTCCAGCTAAGAAAAACTAAAGTTTAAAGTTATTATATCTAATCATTATTATTAGCAACTATTGGGTAACAATGATAGCAGCTAACATTAAGTGAGTACTTAAAAGCACTTCAACAAGCACTTTACACATTTAGTTTTAAAAATTATTAGATAAAGCTCATCCATAACTCAAAACTGAGCTTCCAGTCTAGGCCTTCCCAGAATAAGGAAATAATGTAACTGGCCACTTTCACTCTAAGGCTCTTTTTCATTCATCCTAAATTTCCATTCAATTTAACAACTGTTTTTTAAGTGTCCCCCAAATAGCTGGCACATGTTGGACACAGAGATGAATGAGACCATGTCTCTAGTCTCATAGAAGCTCATTCATTCAATAGGAAGAGAGACACAGAAGTAAATAAGATTAGATAAGGTTAGGCAATAAAAGGGTTATACCGAGGGGTGACTACAAAAATTGTCAACTAGCCCTAACCAGTTTGGCTCAGTAGATAGAGCATCAGCCTACGAATTGAAGGGTCCCAGGTTCAATTCTGGTCAAGGGCATGTACCTTGTTTGTGGGCACATCCCCAGTAGGTGGTGTGCAGGAGGCAGCTGATGGATGTTTCTCTCTCATCGATGTTTCTATCTCTCTATCCCTTCCCCTTCCTCTCTGTAAAAAAACAATAAAATATATATATTTTTAAAAAATTGTCAACTAGAGAACCAAGATGGTGGCATAGGTAAATGCCTGTACTTGCTGCCTCCCACAACCACATCAAAACTACAACTAAAAGACAAAACAGATATCATCCAGAACCATGGGAAGGCTGGCTGAGTGGAAGTTCGACAACTAGAAGGAAAGAGAAAAGTGTATTGAGTCTGGTAGGAGGTGCAGAGGTGTGGAAGTGTGGAGGTATGGAGACGCACGCAAAAGGGGCTGGCAGCTGAATACACTGCTGTCCTTTTCAATCGGGAGGGAGATAAAAACTCCTGACTACTCTGAACTCCAGTTCCAGGCGAGGCTCTGGGGACCCAAACTCATACGGGGAGAAACTGGACTGTCTGGCATCAGGCCGGAATGCGAGGGCAGCTTTCTCTCAGAGGTGCTTGCAGTGTTCATTGTTCCTGCATAGGGCTGCGGGACACAGAGACCCAGGGACCTATAGGGGCAGGGCTGACAGCAACCGTTGCTGTTTGCACCACCCCTGTGATTCCCTAAGACCACGTGCCACCCAATTTACAACCTCACCCAAGCTGTGCACAGAGAATTTTGCAATGAACAATCTGGGCTTTTGCAACCTAACCTAACAAACTTCAGCTGAGTCAAAGAACCCCAGAACTTCCAAAAGAAGGCCTAAGGCTCATCAGCAGCCTGCATTGCTTCACAGCTGCGCCTCATCTGGGCACCTCCAAGCCCCAAAGAGAGAAATCTGCAGATCTCTCTGAAGCTCCTGCTGGGTGGCCTCAGGCAGTGGCTGAATTTGCACCTCCTTGGAGAAGAGCCAGTGTACCCAGTGGTCAAAGTAAGACCACACTAGATTGCAACCCTTCAGACTTCCAAGTCCAGGAAGCGCAGAGAACCCCAAACAAAAGGAATCCGAAGAGGACCACACCAAGATACATCATAATTGCAAAGGACAAAAGGCAAAGAGAGAATCTTAAAAGCAGCAAGAGAAAAACAGTTAGTTACCTACAAGGGAATACCCATACAACTGTCAGCTGATTTATCAACAGAAACTATGCAGGCCAGAAGGGAGTGGCAAGAAATATTCAAAGTGATGAATAGCAAGAACCTACAACCAAGAGACTGGACAAAAATCGTACAGCTATGGATGAGAACAATGGGGGGGTAAGGGTATGGGGTGAGGTGGGAACTGGGTGGAGGGGAGCTATAGGGAGAAAAAAGAGGAACAACTGTAATAATCTGAACAATAAAGACTTCTTTTAAAAAATTGTCACCTAAATGAGGTACTGTTAATAACGCTGGACAATAGGGGTAGATCAGAAGTGTCCCAGGCAAGCAGGTGAATTCTCCCCTAGTTATACCAGAGTATTACTCTGAAAGTTTGCCTGCTCTCAGTCCTGTGGGCACTACAACACCAGTTAGTGGCTCATAACCCATAACCCACTGCCAATTTTCAGTAGAAAAGCTGAAATAATGCAGATAAGGAGTATTCAATTACTGTTTATTGAAGTAAATTGAATTGGACTAACTTAATGTGAATTGCATTGCAGGGACCATTAATAGATACTAGGTTTAAAATTGCAAAAAATAGCATGGTACTCTTTATTACCACCCCGTAGCAATTTACATCCTATATTATAGAGTGCCTGCCATCTCCCTGAATATGCTTCAGGGAAATATCCCAGCTACCCCACATCCCACCCTCCCTCACCTCCCATAAGAAGGAAGCAATCAGCCAAAACTAGAATATTGGGAAAATGTCAAAAGAATGTGACACTCATGGCAGTATATGTGCATTAGGAAATAGCACACCGTGCCTTTCTTTATCCGTCTCTGAACTACAGATGCCTCTCCTCCCTCTGTCCCTGGGTATCTAATCTCTTGTATCTTTAAAGGGCTTCAACTTTGGCTTCCAGGTGCGCAGGCCTTCTCCTCAACAGAGACCCTGTAGTCAAGAAGTGCAACTGTGCTCCCCAAAGCAGTGGTTTAAACTTTGTCACCAAATAGTGGCCAAAGTCAGCAGAACCCCTGAAGAATCAAAAGACTCCTCCCCTGCCCCCAGAAAAATACACAGAGGCACATACACACAGAGATTCAGGAGGTCCCCAGAGTCTAGAGAAGGCCCTGCCTTAGGGGGTTCCTGAGGCTGAACCAA